TCTTAAATCCTTCCTTAATCCTCAGGGGACAATCAATATATCAAGTTTCATGTGTAAAACTGTTCTATTACACTGTATAGAAAACACAGAGCCATGTACCTGGAGAGAGAACAATTTATTTATATGTTTAACATACTGCTTATTAGAATTACACAGTTGTGTACAGAATGTCCGTTGTTCACATTTCATTATCCGAGAAAACAATTTGATGGCAGGGCAATTTACAGCTGAAAAAAGACATGAACTTTTAATAAAAATAAGTGATTTTTTACAGAATGACAGACAAATGTTACTTACAATTGATATTGATGATCTTGGTCATAGATTGCAAGTTAAAATGAACATTGTACCACACGGAGCATATCATTATCTATCTTCTATTGAAATGAATGAACATTATCTGACCCTTGAATATCTTAACATAGCATTCTTTACAAGCAACAGTCATAAGCTTGTTTTAAAACATTTACAAACAAAAAACATTAGAACAATGAAGCATTTTATAGGTAAACTAAGTACTTTCAATGTTACTGGTAATAGATTAGAACAGGGTGCATTCAAGTTTCTAGCACCTTGTTTTTTTACCACATATGGATCTATCCTGGCATCATTTAATATTGGTGAAAATAATCAAGTTTCACCTGAAGCATTGGTTTGGTTATCCGCTGGTTTAAACTCAGATATCTCCTCAAGCAGACTTAAATTGGCTTCAGTGTACTACAGTACAGGAGACATGGAGAAAGCTGAACTAATTCTGAGACACACTGAACAAGGATATAACTCTTATCCTGTTTTACCTATATGTGGCTACAGGAAGAATGCTCCACCTACAGTAACAGCAGAATTCAAGAGGGCATGTGGTGAACAAAGTGACGACTGTATCAAACATATTACAGCATTTTGTGTCAGATTTATACAGAAAGAGATCAACTGTGTTCCTCATGAACTACAATATGAAATGTTCAGATCTACACAAGGTGACATGATACACAGAAATAACATTGAAGACTTTTGGATGGACTGGGCTGAAATTGATTCTCTACCTTTCCTGTACTTCCTACAATATAAGATCTACAGTCATCTACAAAGACATCAAGATCAACAACAAGCACTTAGTAAACTTTTAAGAACCATAGTAACTGATATAAACCTTAAACATAGAGAAACAGCTCTAAACATTCTAGGACAATGCATGGAACAAGAAAACAGACCTCAACAGGCATTAAATTATTACCTGCTTTCTCTTCAACAAAGGCCAAGAAACAATGTAGCAATCATACATATATGTAAGCTCCTGTCTGGCTTATTTGCTAGCCAATAATAAGGGGTCAAAAAACAGTGACAGTATTACAACTGAAATTTTCAATGATTATATACTGATTGTGTGTAACAAACTGACTCAGATGTTAAAATATATATATAATATTATGCCTTTCATCATTCTTTCAGTTACATTTTAGTCTCAAATAACACAATCAAAGTGGATGTTACCCAATATTTAACTTCTCACTACACATCTGAGGGTCTTTCTGTTATATTTTCATATGAATTAGCAACTAATATGTGATATAATTTTGTATTTATAATCATATACTGTTATAAAAAATGTAATAAAACAAATAAAACTGTATAGACTTCTTACTTGTTAGAATTTTTTTTAAAATTCTGAGACTTTCACGTGAGAAGGTAATGTTTTTTACAGAAATAAAGTTTGGTGTGTTTGCTGAGCTAAGAGATGCATAGATTCCAGACTCACTTTTTTTAGCTACATTTCTCAAACGAAAACATGTGTTTGGGGCTCAAATAGCACATTTTTTCACTATGTGAGGCCTAAAAGAGGGGGGGGAGGGGGGGGGGGGGGGGGGGGGGGGGGGGGGGGGGGAGGGTCGAAAGTGCGTTGTTTTTGCGTATATATGAGGTAAAGGGTTAATTGACATTACGCCAGGTAAGGGATTGCTCTGCCCACTGATTCACGTGACCCGGTCAGTAAGTAACTAAGATAAAATACGATACCGATGTTATAGCAAAACTGTTATGCCACTAATGTTACCAATGAATTTACCTTATAAAAAGTTTGTATATATATAATTTTGATACTTTTAATATTTTATTATTGAATAGTAGATCTATTTTTCAATGTATAAATGTATTATGGTATTTAACCAAAAAAAAATCAGTAATCACATGTGTCGCCTCATGATGGCCAAAGAAATTTTGTGACAGACGGACAGACAGACGGACAGTGCACAACTAGACTTGGTACTGATCATTCCTGTAAAGTTTGGACAAAATTGCACCAGTAGTTTATGAGGAGTAGTGAGGACAAGCTTTTGCGTATCTGGCAACACACAGAAAAAAACACCTTTTTATCAAAGGGCCATAACTCGGCCAAAATCATTCAACCGGAAAACCCGTGCAATATGCGCAACGACTTGAGCTACAGATCAATCCTGTAAAGTTTCATTGAAATTGCATTAGTGGTATAAGAGAAGTAGTCCGGACAAACTTTAAAAATAAAAATTATTAAAGGGCCATAACTCTGACAAAAATCGTTGAACTGGAAAATGCTGACAATATGCACAACTAGACTTGGTACTGATCATTCCTGTAAAGTTTGGATGAAATTACACTAGTAGTTTATGAGGAGTAGTCCGGACAAGCTTTTGTGTATCTGGCAACACACAGAAAAAAACACCTTTTTATCAAAGGACCATAACTCGGCCAAAAATCATTCAACCGGAAAACCCGTGCAATATGAGCAAGGACTTGAGCTACAGATCAATCCTGTAAAGTTTCATTGAAATTGCATTAGTGGTATAAGAGAAGTAGTCTGGACAAACTTTAAAATTAAAAATTATTAAAGGGCCATAACTCTGACAAAAATCATTGAACCAGAAAATGCTGACAATATGCACAACTAGACTGGGTACTGATCATTCCTGTAAAGTTTGGATGAAATTGCACCAGTAGTTTATGAGGAGTAGTCCGGACAAGTTTTGTGACGGACGGACAGTTGGACAGACATACAGACGGACAGACAGACGACGGAGAAGTGATCCCTATATGTCGCCACTACTCCGTAGAGGCGACACAAAAAGGGGGAAATATATGCATTTATGTATTAATGATGCATGAAACGTTTTCCAAAGATCGTGTTATTTCTTGTTGATTTCGATGAAAATTTAAAACTGACAAAATATCATAGTAATCTTACAAATTCAAAGAGACATTATATGTAGAAAAGTATATGATTATATTATGATAGTTTTATTTTGAAATTGAAGTAGCGAAACAAAAACAGTAAAGTTATATTAGTGACACAAATAAATCTAAAATCATTTTTAGTGTTTTATATGTGAAATTCAGTTTAAATAATACATAAATTTGTTCAAGAATTGTTAAAATTGATTCAGAGAATTGCATGCCCTTGCCTACTTTTTTTGATATGTGATTTTGTATTGTTAACATATATTTTATATGATTCACAACAAAATACAATGTTATTCTCTTTAAAATAAGATTCACATACATCAGACATGATGTTATTGGTATAAGTTTCGTATTAAGCAGATCTATTTGAATATTTAATATTAATTTATTGAACTTGAACAAAAATATTCAGGTAAGATAATTTCACCCACTTTTTGGTTGTATTTGGTTGTATTTACTCATTATATTTGCATTTTTACGGCTGCGTTTTTTATTGACGCTATACATTATAAACGAAAAAGTTGTATCTTCTGGATATTCTAGGAATGTGATTATTAATAGACAGAATGGAAATAAAACAAGAGCTGTCAGTAGGACAGCAACGCTCAACTATTCTTAGTGCTTGATAGTAAAAAAAAATGCTTGATACAGTTACCTCCTCCTGTTTACAGGTTGGGGTCATGATGGTGAACAAGTGTGCAAAATTTCAAAGTCATATGTCAATGGACTTTGAAAATATTTGAACTATTACAAAAACTTTAACGTAAATTCTAAGTTGAAAAAAGGGGCATAATTCTGTCAAAATGCTTGATAGAGTTACCTCCTCCTGTCTACAGGTTGGGGACATGATGGTGAACAAGTGTGCAAAGTTTCAAAGCCATATGTCAATGGACTTTGAAAATATTTGAACTATTACAAAAACTTTAACATAAGTGGTTACGCCGACGCCGACGCTCGGGTGACTACAATAGCTCTACTTATTCTTATCGAATAGTCGAGCTAAAAAAAGTGGATTTGTTTAAACCTTTTCATTTGAAATGCATTGTATTATAGCCAGGATAAATGTTTCATACTTATCATTTCAATATGTAGGAAATTTTTTTTTTAAAAAGTCGAGCTAAAAACAAAACAGAAAACCCTGACCTTGATTTATTTCTCTAACACTCATTGTTCATTTAATTAGGTCTTGGCTAATTTGTAAAGAACCAAAAGCAAAGCAGTAGGCTGAAAAGAGTCTCTGTATGTATACTTCACCAGCTTTTATCTATTTGTAAGAAATACAATACATAACCCTAATTGTAACAAGATGATAAGAAGCCGTATAATTCCTATTCTGACATTTGTAGGCAAATCCTAGACAATACACAATTTACTAAGTGGCAGCATGGCTGAATGGTTAGCATGTGGGAATAGAAATCTAAGAAACGCTATCCGCGTCGGTTCAAACCCCGTCAGGGATGAGACGCTGTTTCCTTAAACAAGAATCTTTACCCTTATTCTCAGTACTAGATGATTCCAGGAATGGATTAGTGTGTGTGTCTATTAGCTATAATTAGCTTCTTACACAATCAAACTAAAATAAATTCTGAATAAACCAATAAACCAAATGATAGACAAGTCAGCCCATAAAAGACTGGGTATATCAAAATCAAAGGTAACTTATCAAATTCAGTATCAAAACATTTACTTCTTATTCCTCTTCCAAAGAAACATGGCAAATTTTCTTTCATTAATGTATCAACATATTCTGATGTTTTTTTTTTATATTCAAACCTTTTTAATATACTAACCTTGATATGGTTTTAATGCAGTACATGTATGAGTAATGGTGTCAAGTACAAGAAGTCGTAACCGTGGATTTCTAGAGGAAACAATATGTTTGCATCTCAACATCACTTCTTTCACTGCCTTAACATGGTGTGGTAATGGTTGTTTCTTTTCTTCTTCTGTCTCCATGGCAACATCTTCATCCATGTTGGTAGGATCATTGCTAAAACAGATATATATTGTCATGTTTTCTTCATATGTGTCTAAAATCTTTTTTTTACCCCTGTCCATGTTATATTTATGTAATGGATTTACCCAGCTTTTGATTTGGAACAGTTCATTCAGAATTCCAGGGATTTCTATCTCAGACTACACAAATTAGGACTGCATTGATGTGGCTCTACACTGGAGGGGACAGTATTTTTGAAATGTTGAAAAAAAAAACTTCTTTATAATTATATAAATGATTTCTTTGTACTTCTCAATAAAATTACCTCATGTTGTTCTAGAAGATAACATTGATAGTGCCACTTTATACAAAATGTGTAACAAGTTGAAGAGCAACACCTTACTTAACTGTAATAAAAACATTGGGCTTAAAGTTAAGACGGAGTAGAATACTCATTCTATTACAGGTAGCAGTAACTGTGAACTTTGGCCAAAGATTAACTGCATTAACACATTTCAAATCAAAGAAAGTAAATTTGACATCAAAATACTTTTTCCAGGATATTCTTTTATTACTTAAATATAACAATTTTATTCCATGACAGGACTGGAAATTTCCGAATATTTGTGCACCATTTGATGTAGGTTGAGACCAATTGCTTGCGAGCTAATTTTCAGATCATTCTCTTCCAAAATAATAATTTTCATAATGCAAATTGACCCAAAAATGAAAAGCGTAAAGCTGGTTAAGAATCACACAAAAAATTAAAATTCTAACCCGAGTCGTTTTCTTTAATATGTTTTGCTTTTTTCCCCATATAATATCCTTAAATTGGTCTATGTAAGAATTTCAAATTTTATGTTTTAGGCTTTTTCACCTCAGATAAGCCCCTTTTAAATTCTCTATGGGATTCTCTGTCAAACACATGGAAACTATGACAACCAAACAAAATAGAATACTGTTAAAACATACCTGAAATCTAGAAGTTCCTCCTCAGTGAACTCCCCTCTTGCTTCCCTCTCTAGTCTCAGAAGGTTAGAAAAGTAGCTCTTCAACTCTTCTGTTTTTCTCCCTATTCTGTCAGGATCATTTCCACTGGTCAACGAGTGTGCACCTTCTATGCACTGATTACCTCCCTTATTCATGTCATTTAACTTATGTGAACAATTATTTGTTGAATTTACTGTGTCATTTAATTGGCAAGAACAGTGACATTTACATGTTAATTTACCACTAATTCCCATGTTTTCAGTACCACTATTCTGACATTTAAAACTTACACACTTTTTAGCTCCACAATCACTGTTACAACATTTTTGTCCCGCTGAAGTCACAAGATTTTCATCACTAGTCTGTTTCTCTGTTACACCTGTTGCATTGTCCAATAAATTTGTACTATTTGTTCGACTATGGCACTGACAATGTGGCTGGTTCCCACATGTACAAGACTGTTTACCAGTTTTATTACTGTCATCAGCTGGGAACCATCTCACCACAGCTTTAGAGAGTTCATTAAGTACACTCATAAAAAGAACAGACTCTTCTGCATAATGATCATCTAAAGATTCCAAAATCTGGAAAACAATAAAATAATTATTATAAACAATCATAAATTTGATGCATACTAACTGGTATAAGCAAGTCATTATTGTTTGGTTTGATGGATATTAAATTAAAATGGCACTGTAAATGTCATATGGCCACTTTTCAACTTGACCTCAAATGCCCCTTGCATTATTTCAGGCACCTCGGTAATACCACCAACCTTCACCACTGACCTTTTGTAAGCTTTCTGGAAAGTTTCCTCGCACTGACGAATCCAAAATCTTTATTTCTTTAAATAAGCATTGAAATGATAAATGATCTTTGATGTATCATATATTTTACAAAGACTTGTAAGATTTCTTCAATATGTACAAAATTATTTTTTCAATGCCAAGGGAACAATCCTGAATTTCACTTTAATTTGTTTTTAAAATATATTTTAATTTAATTTTCCCGCTTTAAAAGGGGTATAGATAAAAAAGACGTTTTTATTTTTCTGACAAAAAATTTTTATTTATAGACCCCCTGAGAAAAAGAAATTAATGTGGATTTTAGTTAACTGAAGAAAGCATGCCAAAAATAACCATCATACATTTATATGAGGAATTTTATTACAGTATTTTAAAGTTTTTAGAGATAAAATTTTCACAAAAATTACCTCATTAATCGTATCATCAATCAAGGGCAGTAACTCTGCACTACTATATTGTAACATAACTTTGAGCACAAGGGGGCACTTCCGGTTCCTGTTGAGATGACGTAACCTCAATGATATAGCGTTCATCAGATAATCACAGTTGTTCCTTATCAACTCATCTAGTGATCTATAAAACAACATAATCAACAAAATCAGAAAACATGATAAAGTGACATAATGCCCATCCATGGGCAAATGTTGAGTACATAGGAAAAAGTCAAAATAAAGGAATGAAATAAAAAGTCAAAATATAGTTATATTTTGCCATAATTATGTTCAATATACAAAAATAATCAATAATCCACGTGACCCACAGGCATTTCCATAAATATCATTCAGAATGTATCTTACTTGTAACATTTTTAAGAAGAGTGGGGTAGTCTTATTATAATTTTAGTAGTTCTAATTATTATCAATTTCTGGTCAAAAACCATTATAATAGTCAGTCTGTTGAATTATATTACCCATTCAACTTGACAGCAAAAATATTAGCAAAATGTCACTTTAATGTTTGACACCATGTAACTTTCTTATCAATTTAAACTAAAGGATAAAATTCTTTTTCTTTTAGTTTCACTTTCATTCTGATCAGACTGGAAAACTGATTTGCCTTGCTTTAAATTTAGAAGTCTCCATTGTTAATTAAGGTATTTAATATTAAAGTGTTAAAATTTACCCGTCCACAATTTAAAGTCTGCCCAAAACGGTAAACAGTTTCAGAATGTCCGAGTACAGTTAGGTTTGTTTTTACATTAATTTCAACAGATTTTTGTAATATCTCGGCAGTCGGCCCACACAATGGGCTTTACTGGATAACTTACGAGTAACTGCCAATTTTTTCATAAGCAACTGACTAGTATGGTACTCCGACATTATTTCTGAATCAGCCAAGGGAGACAAATGACCATTAGACTAGATCTTTGAGATTAATTGTCACAGAGAAAGTTTGCCTTGTCTAAGTTTTACTCCAGTGATTCCTGGATTACAAATTTAATGCTCTCTTTAAATTGGTTGGTCTGACTCGACACTGGTGGAACTAACTTGTCATTTATGTCTTAAAGTTACGTATTCAAGGATTGAAAAGAAAAACCAACTTACTTATATCTACAAGCAGTGCAGACGTCCCAGAGTGATATAAAGGCAGCGTTACTGATATAGGCCGTATCATCACCGAGTTTCTCTAACATCGGGTATAATACATGTATCAATAATCTCTCATAACTACTCTTTAATACCTAAAATGTTACAAACAAACTAAATGAAGAATATATTTCTACCACTTTCACCCTGCTGAAAAGTCATTTTTGTTGCAAGTGCTTCAACACTTAATTTATTTTCATCTATTAAATACAGAGACAAAAATACAGAAATGAAAATGTTAAGCATTCTGAACCCTCAGTCTACTGGCAGCAACTAATCCATGCCTACAGTGCAGACCATCATGCAGACTATCATGATCTACACTGTTCACTATTCAAGGTTTCTTTTCCAGGATTTTAGGAACATGACCCTTACCCATGGAATTGGAAATTTCAGCTATGTTTTGTTAAAAATTGGTAAAAAATGCATGACTTACATGTTGCAGTGCTTAAATGAATGCAAAGAATCACTGTCTATGGTGGCATCTTCAAACATTTAAGCACTATAACAGTGAAGAAGCCCTTATTTTCAAAGATTTTAGAATTTGTTATTCAATATTTATATTTTGCAATTTTTCCTGTTGATTGGGAAAATAATATAGTATTTTCAATTCGTAATATGACCGAATATCGGCTAAAAAATAAGCCAAAAAAATCCCCAGTATTCAGACCATCATGGTCTGCACTGTTCACTAGTTCACATTTTGAATTGTCCCCTAAAAAAGATGAATGGTTTTGGTAAGATTTAAAGATGGCCAAGTCCATTTAATAAATTTAAAGTGGTAAGAGGTTAATATGTTCAAAGCATTCTGTTTAACAAATATTTGATCCCACTCCTATAACTTTACAGTTCGCATTTTGGGATATAAATTAAATTTTAATAATTTAAGGGGTAAAATGAATAAACATCAATTCAAACCTGGCAAATTTTTCCAAATCCCCCCAGAAAAGGGCAATCGCACAAATTCATTCATCTTCCCGTTTTGGTTTCTAGGGGAGTTTTTAAAGCCAAACCTCTCAACTGCTGTTCTAGTGACTGAACCTTAGGCTGGGAACCAGTCACAGAAGTCACAAGGTCAAAGTTCACAGGGTTCAAATACTCTTCTATCAACATTCTGAAGTTTAAACAAAAATTGTTATTTCAAATAAATGTTTCACAAAATAACATAGAATTTTATTATTGCATACTTTTCAAGATATGCCAAAAGAAGGTATCAACACTATAAATTGATAGTAAACAAGCATAGTTTTTCCCCCATTTCTCTTAAATATTTTTATCATCTTCTATTTTTGAATAGCACAATAACATTTTTGTAAATGTACACCTAAGTGTCTTTTCTCTATCATTTGACCTGTCAAGTAAATAAAAACAACCTCTTCTCCATTTAGTGTTTGCTTCCCCAAAAATATTGTGATAAAATTCACAAAATGGCTGTTTTCTCAAATCTATTTTACTTTATTTCCTTTCCAAAAACATTCCCTGTAAGTTTGTTTGATTGGGTTTTAAATCACACCGACACAGTATAGGTCACTTGGCGACATTCCAGCTTTACTGCTGGAGGAAGACCTCAGGTGCCCTTCCGTGCATTATTTCAGGCACAAACAGGCACCTGAGTAGAATCACCAACATTCCGTTCCCTGTAAGTTGTACCACAAACGAGCTCCAAAAAGGAAGAATAACATTGTTATTATTATCATTAAAATAACACTACCTTATTACAAACATCCCTGACTATATTAATTAAGTTCTAATATTACCTAATAACGCTGTCAATCTCATCTCTACTATGTTTATTCCAGCTTTTACCATTCTTTGTGTTACTCGTACAAACTGTAATAGTAAATAGTAAACAAAAATACTTAAGCATGTCACCCTACTAAATAAATGTACACAATTTAACATGTATATTCCTTTTTATCTTTATTAACATTCAATAGAAGATGTAAAAACAGTACTTTGCGAAATTCAGATATGTCGTAAAGTAACATTAATTTATGATACAAGGCATAATAATCAAAATTACAGTCATTCATTCATAATTTATCTGACCAACAAACTTATCTATGTATACAAGAATGATTTAAACAATAGGGACATGGACAGTTGATTTTTTATTCAACAATGCTTGATCCTTGAATAAAAGCAGATGTTTTGAATTCTAATTGCATTGGAAGCGATAGGTTTAAAACAAGGTATTCCAAGTTTTAAAATAACATCTGAATGAGTGTAGTTAAAATGTGGCCTATCACAAGGTGTGATATTAATGTGTATGCAGACGCCAAAACCCTGTGAGCAGGATAGCACTTCCCAATCTTCAATTAGTCCGTCAATCCAATTTAGCGGCTACGAAGTTTTCATGAAGAATATAAAACCAAAAGGATAGAAATAAAACGCAACAAGATAGACACAAACAAAACTATTTGACTATATAAAGACTTATATACCTAATTCCCCAGTGGTACCCAGCATTATTTCATTGATGACTAGAGTTGCCTGTAACTTAAACATGCTGCTCTCGTGAAATATATCCAGGAAGTGATCTATTAATAGATGTATATCACCATAGTAACCAAGGAGATGACACACCCCCTGTACCTTCTGGAAGATTCGATCATTACTGAAATGTTTGAAGTATTTTCTAGGACGTATAATACTACATGCCTCGTTTGTTATACCTCCACTACCTGAAACAGAAAATTAAACTAGAAAATGATATATAGATTAATTAACAAGAACTTTAATTACATTAATCTTTACTATGCCAATTTGTTTATAAAGAACTTTTGTCTTGACTGAAACCTATTACTTTTAGCAATTTCAAGCACTGAAATTTAGCAGTCAAACAATAAAAATCTGGGCTGGATGTGCAGGTAGGCCTGGATGTATTACAGTGGCAAATGTCATCCATTATAGTTGGTATAATTCTACTGGTACAGTATATTTAAAACTATTGTCTTTGATGTAGGTTTCAATAGGCTATTTAGACAACAAAATAACAATGATTATTATTTGTGACAGGTTTTAAGTCAAGCTGACACTTTTAAGGTCATATGACGATTTTTTAGTGGTAGTGGATTTATTTGTTGGGTTTCACACTAAACAGGTCCAGCTTAATGGTGGAGGAAGACCTCAGGTGTTCCATAAGCCAGCTGGATAGCTTCCTCACATCAATATATTCAAAGTCTCTATTAAAATTTGAACCCACAGGGGTGAGGGGCAAGTGGTTTGAAGTCAACAATCTTACCCACCTGGCTGTCGATACCCCAACTATGATTATATTCTGTAAGTTACTCAAATTACATCAAACAGACAAACCTTATCTATCAACAAAATGTTTACAACAACAAAGCAATGTGTCATTATCATTACCATAAACAGAATATAATATAAGCTACATTACCTAGCCCAGTTACCGTGGTTCTCTCCTCTACTATCTTTATATCGGAACACTCTAGTTCTAGAATCTGCAGTAATGCTAGTGACAGTCTCTTTAGATGTGGTAATGATAACAGGAAGTTCTTCACACGTGATCCCAGTATACTGATATAACCGGCCAACATGTTCAACAATGATATCTTATCTTCTTCCTCTATAATATCATCATAATCAATTATCATATTATACTGCTATATTTTGTATGAAAAAAAGTATTTACTTCTTTGAAACATGCCAAACTAGTCTCTTTTAAAAAAATAAAGTCCTTATTGGCATTTCAATTTGTATAAGATGCTATTGTCTTAGGTTTTTTGTGTTTTTTGGGGGGTTGGGTTTTACATCGCACCAACACAGTGTAGGTCATATGGAGATTTTCCAGCTTTACTGGTGGAGGAAGACCTCAGACGCCCTTCTGTGCATTATGTCAGACACAAACGTGTGCATGACTAGGACCACAGACGTTTTGTAAGCTAACTGGAAACAAAGTCCCTGGGGGTTAGGTTATTTCAAATGGGCCTCAAAGTGCATTATATAATACGAAAAATTTATCATATTATCACCTTTCTTTGAATAATCGTGACACTGTTTATAAAAATCATAAATATACGTCTGCTGTCAATTTATGAAGATATTCCATGTTTTTCTCAAAGGTAGTTTGCTGTTTTATAACAAGAGGGCCATGATGGCCCTGAGGTCGCTCACCTGTATATAGGCCCCCCCCCCCCCCCAACCCCCACCCCCAAACGTTGCAGGGCCAATTTAACCAAAGGGCTTTTATTTGCACAAACTTGGTAGACACCCATAAGAAGATGTTTCATGCTAAACATCTAAGCTCTAGCTCATTGGGCTATTTAAAAGAAGATTTTTTTTAAGTTTTTACTATACACATATAGTGACACCCCTGGGCCGGGCCAGTTATGACCCCAGGGTTTTTATTTGAACAAACTTTGTAGACACTTACTAGAATATGTTTCATGCTTAATATCTAAACTCTAGCTATTTGGGTTTTTTCAAAGAAGATTTTAAGTTTTTGCTATACACATATAAGGAAAATCAATGACCCCGGGGCGGGGCCAATTTTGACCCCAGGTCTTTTATTTGAACAAACTTTGTAGACACTCACTAAAAGAATGTTTCATGCTTAATATCTAAACTCTAGCTATTTGGGTTTTTTTCAAAGAAGATTTTAAGTTTTTGCTATACACATATAAGGAAAAATCAATGACCCCGGGGCGGGGCCAATTTTGACCCCAGGTCTTTTATTTGAACAAACTTTGTAGACACTCACTAAAAGATGTTTTCATGCTTAATATCTTAACTCTAGCTATTTGGGTTTTTTCAAAAAAAGATTTTTTAAGTTTTTGCTATACACATATAAGGAAAAATCAATGACCCCTGGGGCGGGGCCAATTTTGACCCCAGGGCTTTTATTTGAACAAACTTGGTAGACACCTATTAGAACATGTTTGATGCTAAATATCTTAACCATAGCTCTTTGAGTTCTTTAAAAGAAGATTTTTAAAGTTTTTACTATATGCATATATAGGGAAAATCAATGACCCCCCAGGGCGGGGTCAATTTTGACCCCAGGGCTTTCATTTGAACAAACTTGGTAGACACCCATTAGAACATGTTTCATGCTAAATATCTTAGCTCTAGCTCTTTGGGTTCTTTAAAAGAAGATTTTTTAAGTTTTTACTATATGCATATAGGGAAAATCAATGACCCCCCGGGGCAGGGCCAATTTTGACCCCAGGGCTTTTATTTGAACAAACTTGGTAGACACCTAATAGAACATGTTTGATGCTCAATATCTTAGCCATAGCTCTTTGAGTTCTTTAAAAGAAGATTTTTAAGTTTTTACTATATGCATATAGGGAAAATCAATGACCCCCGGGGCTTTTATTTGAACAAACTTGGTAGACACTCACTAGAAGATGTTTCATGCCAAATATCTAAGCTCTAGCTCTTATGGTTTTTTAAAAGAAGATATTTCAAGTTTTTTCTTTCGGCTGCCATGGCAACCAGAGTTCTGCATGGAATTAAATTCTTTGAACAATTTTTAAAGGTGACCACCAAAGGAACATTCCTGTGAAGTTTGGATGAAATTGGCCTTGTGGTTTATGAGGAGATGTCATTTAAAGTAAAAGTTTACGGACGCCGGACGACGGACGAAAAGCGATCACAAAAGCTCACCCTGTCACTTTGTGACAGGTGAGCTAAAAATTATTACAAAGATTCTTGACAGACTGTATATAAACAGTTATTTGCAATATCCATGTATATGCAAACAACTATTTACATTGGGCCATTTAATCTGTCAAAAAACTTTATTTATAACTAATATAATACACAACATAAGATCAAAGATAAACCACAAAAATAAGACAATGTTATGAACCTGCAGTTTGTATCTGTCTAGGTAATGAGGTGGCTAGTTTATGGAGATTCTCTTCTAGGATCTCCGTGAGATGATGTTGCTGATCTACAGCTTGACTCTGACTGAACAACTCCAGGGCATGCCGGCTCCCACTGGCTACCTTAGTGAAGTCATCCCCTATTAGGCTTACTAGGATCTCCAGAAACGCAGGTACACTGTCCTTCATTGAGCTAAAATTATATAGTCTCGCTATATTCAATTCCATTTATGTTTGCAGTTTATTTAATATCAAACCATCATGCTAACTTGTTTAATGAAAGAAATAGTGACTGTCGAAAATAGTTTCAGGGTTCCTTTCCTTAGATTGCCAATGGCTTCTTTTTTGTACCTGTAGATCACCCATAATACAGTGAATACTGGAAAGTTCTAGGCTCAGATGGATAGGACATTACTGGATAGGACATTACTGGATAGGACATTACAAGTACTGAAGCAAACTTTAGAAACATTGACACAAACTTTTTCTGATTGACAAATTTGGTGATGAAAGCTAAAACTGACCCAAAAAGGAAACCTGGGTTTCTAAAATATAACAAGATTATCATCATGTTGTCTACAATAAATGTATATTAACTCCTAACTTCTCTTAATTGGAGATTTGTTTGTTTTTAAATGATTACAATTTTTCAAAAAAATCAATTCAATTTCTAACATGTTGTGTTTGATTAGAAACTTACTGTGAGCAATGCAGTAGAAGATGTTCTGCACATTCGACCAGTCCTAGCCTCACCCTCCAGTTGCAATGACTTCGTACAGTAGCCACCTGTTTCACCAAGATGAACAGATTCCCGCTTGTTGTCTTCACCCAGTTCTCATCTCTTGTCACAACCAGTCCGGCCAGCCTTTCATCTAAATCCTCTATAATATAGATATAATAGTTCAAGGATAGGAAAAGACATGGGTGTCATAACACTGGAATTTGGTACCAACTGTAAAACCTCATCAAGGCATTACTTCTTAAAGGTACATTATGCCTCAGAAATAAGTTTTTTAATTGTTTAGAAATGTCAAACATGTTTTTTATAATGTTTTAATAATGAATTTAGAGCATGTTACATGTTTAAATACTCACACCTTTAAATATGAAAGCGATTATTTTTAATTTCAGATGCTTCTGAAGATTTATGTCTACATGTATCTTTATGGAAAAAGAACAATGAATTAAATTGATGTCAAAATTTGCAGAAATATCGCTCTGTTAGTAACCATGAAGAAACATTGCGAATTAAAAACAGTGCTTAATTATCATGCAGAATACATGCACAAATATAGTGTTTCACACATACATGATTTTTGAATAAAGTAATGGTTTGGCAACTTAAGGAATCATTATTTAATACTTACTCTGATCCTTAGACTTGCTGCCCTGTTTTTGTCTGTATACCTCCAGTAGTTTATCATCCATCACTAGACTTACTATCCTCATCCATACATATACAGCTTTCTATAACAATATCATTCTCATATTTTTATAAATCTTTAGTCATAGATATTAACTTATTTATTTAAACCATAAACTTGCTGAATTTCTAACATAGACTTGTCATTTATATTATTAGTTATAAAGATTGTTGACAGGTTATATGGGCCTATATAAACGGCTGTTTGTAAATATAACCCAATCGCTAGGCGAGGGTTATATTGCAAACAGCTGTTTAAATACGGCCATATAACCTATCAACAACCTTTATAACGAATTTATAATACAGCAAACATCATTTTTTAGAAAAAAAGTAAGATTTCTTCATGAATCAACAACAGCCGTGTATATAAAACTATATAAACGTCATGATTATCCAATGAAAAGCGATGTTACAAACATGCAGTATTATTATGATATAAAGATGAAAAGTTGAAGTAAGTCGGGTTACATCGCATGAAAGTGTATGCTGGCCTAGCTCTACAGAGGTGGAAAAAGCTCATCACTTTTTAGTTCCAGAAACGTAAGTGTAAACAATAGAATGCAGAATGAGCAGGTTTTTATTATAATTATAGCCTCAAACAAAACCAAAGTAACAAAGGAAATGTTGTTCAATTTTAAAGTCACAGAAATTCATATCACTTGACATAAAATTGTTTAATGAGAATTATAACCTTTTGTGCAACCTTGTTATAATGGGGGTACCATACTAGCTTTTAACTGAATGACACAAACATGTCACATTGAAAACTCCAGGTTAACAGCCATATGACCACATCTGCAACTGTTTCTAAATGCAATATTTTACATTTCATGTTAATATGCTGAATTCTGCTTAAGCCGGTGCCATGGGGTGTTGACAGTAGTTGCAATTACCACTTCTGTCCAAGAAGCACCTTAATCAAACTGAGCTTACCACATTTTCAATTTTGACATTTTAGTGGTTCTATAGGGATTCATATTTTCTCTATTACCTTGTAAAACATTAAGAAAATAGATACTTTGAATTATATAAACAGAATAAAAACTTACAGATGTAACAGCAAAGCCCTGTTTAGTATCACCAGTAATTATCTTGCACAGGGTTACAGAGATGCCAGGTAGAAATGAGGCATACAGGTTCCCTATATCTGCTTTCATACATTGACTTACTGAAATTATGATTAAATACAATTACAAGTGCTTAAATCAGTTACCCCTCACTGCTGAGGGTTTGAATTCTGCCAGGGATGCTGATTCTTTAAGGTAAGGACATTATCCAACTGGCAAGCAGGTCAGCCGTTCTACTCAGGTGCCAGTTTGTGCCCGAAATAATGCATGAAGGAGCACCTGATGTCTTCCTCCTACAACAAAGCTGAACAAGAGCTGTCCGTAAGACAGCGCGCTCGACTTTTTTATTGCTTGCCAATAAAAAAAGTTTTTGCAGTAAAAGGCAATACAAGAATCTCTGTATTTTTAAAGTGAACTAGTTGTTTGATACCCTTGAATATTACAGCAATGTTTATATGACATAATTTATGGTAAAGTGAACAAGTGGATAGGAATGAATTTTTTTAGATTTTTTAAGTTTTTTAGTGCTTGCCTATAATACAAAACATTGACAGTTAAGGGCCATAATTCAAATAAAATCTTTGACAGAATTACCTTCTCCTGGACATGTTTGGGAATCATGATTGTAAACAAGTATTCCAACTTTCAAATTAATATCTCAAACAGTTCAGTCAAAAAGTGGACTGGTACTAAAAACTTAACCAAGATTCTAAGTCGATAAAAGGCCTTAATTTTTAAAACAAATCCTTGACAGAGTTACCTTCTCTTGCGTACAGATGGGGGTAATGATGTGAAATAGCATTAAAAGTTTCAAAGCAATATCTCAAAGGGTTAAGGCAATAAGTAGATTTTACCCATATTCAATGTATTTTCTAAGTCAAAAAGGGGCATAATTCTGTCAAAAACCTTGACAGAGTTATGTCCTCTTGTCTGTTGATGAAGGTCGTGATGGTAAACAAGTATGGTCAGTTTCAAAGCAATACCTCCAATGGTTTTGAAATAAAGTGAGGTGGTACAAAAAACTTAACCAAGCTCAATACACTTTCTAAGTCAAAAAAGGGCCATAATTCTGTCAAAAACCTTGACAGAGTTATGTACTCTTGTCTGTAGATGGAGGTTATGATGGTGAACAAGTATGGTAAGTTTCAAAGCCATACTTGTAATACTTCTGAAATAAAGTGGGGTGGTACGAAAAACTTAACCAAGGTGTGACGCCAACGCTAACGCCGACGCCGACGCCGGGGCGAGTAGGATAGCTCCCCTTTTCATAGAAAAGTCGAGCTAAAAATCACCATATACCCTAAATGACCTTAACAGTGTCAGTGTGCTTCAATAAAATCAAACAAATTAACAAGAAAATAATTTAAAATATCAAAGATCAAAAAATTTATCGGACAGAAATGATCAAATCTCTCGAGAACACAAGATTTTAGTGTTTTAACATCTTTATGGTTCATTTTACTTTTAATATTGAAAATACAATACTCTTTTAAGTGGTGCTATGACACTTAGGAGATGCCAAGTAACAAGCACCTTAAATGTTCTGAAACCATTATTTGACATTATAAAATAAATGTTTGCCGTTTCTAGAGAAGCAAAACTTTTCTCATTTCTGAGGCATAATGTGCCTTTAATTTTAAAGTTTAAAACAAATATATGGGAAAAGATCTAGAACATACGTTTTGAGTCAGCCTGGCTGAAATCAAGTAGGCATTCCATCGCTAGTATACGCAGATTTCTAGCTCTCTCCACCTCGGCTATATTTAGTAAGAGCGATACTGAATGTCCAAGTAGTGGCAGGCATAGTATTGTGTACAGGTGCTGTACTACACTGAAATATAGAGAATATCACTTCAATGAGATTATCATTCCATCAGTGAGATATCAAATCTATCACATTTTATATTATTTTCACAATTGTTTTTATGAAAATTCACTTTTTTAAATTGTAGTTATTGAAGTGTCAATACCTTAAAAAATATTAGAAAAACAGACATTAAACTGCAAGACTTTAATTCATAAGGTGTTTATATCGTGAAATCAGTGCATTTCCCAACACTTTATGACTTTCTAATTCAATAGCTAATTTTAACAGCATAAAATAACACTATTTCCATAAATAAAGACATTAAGGCACTAATTTTCACATTTCAAACTACAAAGGCATATTCACAGAAGACTTTGGAAAAAAACACTGACAAAGGCAATTTCAATGCTCTTTTATATACAGCAACAGCTGTACTTTCATGTATATATTACAAAGTACATAAGACTATTTCCGATTGAATATCTATCCCATTTACCACACATTATTCTGCACCCTCCCCTGTTTTTTGACTGAAAAATTTGTCAAGAATGAGATAAACATAAAAATAGATTCATTTCATTATATTAGAAGTTTAAATACAAAAAGCCCAACTCTAAAAGCATGCATAATTAATAACCTATATGACCTATATGAAGAATTTGTCTACATTCAAGACTATACTTTCGACGGTTCAATAGTAATATTCTTATACTGAAGTCCATTAACTAGACTGTTCAAAAATCAACTTAAAATGTGTTAAAAGGACCTAGATGTTCCTACATTCCACTGTTTTGTAAGTATAACCAACAGACAGACTAGGGCAAAATCTGTTTACCTTTCTAAGTGGGTATAAAGGGCAAATCAATTATATAAATAAATTTAGCAAGGCAAAGTTTAATTTATGTCACAGTATTATTATTGTTATCACAAGAAAACTATTTTACCTGGACTCCGAGTTTTTGACCAATGTTCTTAAAGTCTGTATAATGGCTATCTTCAATTCCTCACTCAATGTGGCAACTGTAAAATAAAACTAATCTTTATTATGAAACACTTTGAGTAAGAATTAACTTCCTACACTCAGCCATCTTTTTCACCATGTCATTGTTATATCAAATTAGTAATGAAAAAAGTACTTCATTTTTTATTTGTTGAATTTCTTCTTATATTAAGATGACATTTTTCAGCATAACATAAGTCTCGTTTTCTTTTACATTAACTTAAAGATAAGGATTTAGGACTTTTTACTTTACCTTCAAGATTAGGTTTAAGGACTAGAACATTTCCTTATGCATTGTCATTCTAAAATCTAAAACTGCTGAAAAATTTTAACTTGCAGAAAAAACAACAAAAACACATTAATAAATAAACAATAGAGAACAAACCTTTACTCTGGTCTGTAGGACATGACAGCATAGCTGTAGCATTGTGGAATATATCCTGGAACAGATCCCATCTTGTCACCTTTGTATGTCCCAATACATACTCCATACATGTGTACAGATCTAGATACAAATCCTGACTGCTATAAATAGAGAAACAATTGTTTCTTTATTACAGGTTTAAAGTCTGAAGAATCAGTAGGGTAAGCAGAAACAAATAGTGATAATGTATTCTAAAATAGCATTCAAGTCAGAAAACTGTTAAATTTTGCACTGTAATTTAGTTGCAGGGTTAAAGTTTTTCATGATTTATCAAACTATGGTTTAGTGTTACCTAGTGTTCCAAATCAGATGTTAACGTTTTACCTATAATTACTGTATTTTCTGCTCTTTTAATCTTTATCAATTGAGCAAAACTTTCAAAAGTTTAACACAAGCATGCGAGTTCTTTTCACTTCATAAAACCTATTTTTTCTGATGAAGAAACTGAATTAAGTTAAAATTGTTTAACATCATTCCAAGTACAAAAGAATGTAGTTGCCATAAGGGCTGTTTCCCCTAGCCTAAAATAAAATGAACTGAAATTATTTTTTTTCATAAAATGTGTAGGTAAATTCCATTTTCAGTTGCTGGAATTTGCTTTCAGGTTTCCACTAAGTTTTGAGATTTATCACGCTATGTTTTCCCCTTCATAAACCACAGATTGTTTTGAAAATGGGAAAAAAAATCACTGCAACAGCCTTAGTCAGTATGGTGAGCAGAAAACAGACCGTTTATTCAGTATTTCTACGATTATAATTATGTTGTAACTGGAAAATCTGTATTGACTACAGTTATTTGACTCACCATTTCTTCGGGTGTTTCAGTATAATCCTAAGAGGGAAAATAACATATTCCTGTAGATCTTGGAGGAATAAAATGTCAACTGACTGCAATGCAGTAAAAAGTTTGGCAATGTTTTCTCTTGTATGATCCTTTGTTAGTGTGACACAAAATGGCTTCAACAAAGAAAAAGCTTCTGTTCGCAAGGCATCCCTGAAATGTGAAAAATAAACTGTGATTCATCATATCATATGATATGGTATTAAGGAAACAAATTCATGAGTATTAATTGCTACAATTTACAACAATACTTAAAAAAACAAATAGATCAAAATAAAATGTCCACAGAAGAGCAGTCTGATGGATCCCAAAAGCTAGATTATGGTCCAGAGCTCTAGCATCACGGACATGCTTCACTCCCTTAAACCTTGTAAACTGGAACTCAGACAATAAGATGCTAGGTTATCCCTTTTTTACAGGACTCACCATGGTCTAGTTGCTATCCCCATAGAAGAATATGTTAAACCCCTCTCCCGAACATCATGCCATGGCCATCCCCTGTGTTAGCCTAATTAATTTGGCGTGAACGGTTTGACCCATTTTACAGACTTTTTTTTTCTTACTGTCAAACCGTTACGCCTAATTTTAACTGTCATTTTTACGCACGGAAATTCTACCGGCAACACTTTCGATAGTTTGGACTAATTTTTACTGCTTAAACCTGAAAGTAACTTCAATTACCTCTAAAGATCAATAGAATATAAATTTTAGTACTAACTTCTCCTAGAAAAAATATTAGATTGTACCTGTCTTAACGCATACATGCGATTTATTTCAAATTTGTACTGTCTACTCTATCTTCGGCGGACATGTTATGACGTCATCGTAAAAAATTGATTCCGTGAAAGCTGGTAGTAGCTACCAGTGTGTCTAGCAGGTAAGTGTGGGTTACGCATGAAGATTAAATTAAACAAAATATCGGGGGAAATAAATCTATTCATTATTTTTTAATAAATGTGTGCATTATTAAATACTATTGAAAAGTATCATTGTATTTAACCTAAAATGCAATGGTCGCAAATAGGCTACGTACAAGTACTGTTGTTTAATATTTTTTTAAATATTTTAATACATGTACTCAACATTTATCAATTGGTGGTTTGGCTTCTTGTTTACTGCTAATGACTGCCAAATGTCACTCTCGGATAAAATACTGACTTCATTTATACATGCATATTTATATGACAATTAAGAACGTAAAAGAAATATTGAAGGAAACTATTTGAAATACACTTCAAATTATTCAGTATTTGTACAAATAATATTTCAAGAGCTCTTTTTCACCGATTGCCGATATATAATACCATATTAAACCTATTGATAAAGTTAAATGTCTTCTTGACATACTTTATTAATTTACTAAAAAGGAACTTTATTGTGATCCAGCCATATGCTGTGTAACTATAAAAGAAGGGTCACATATTTTAATTGAAATAAATTTTAAGTAGAGGATATTAAAAAAAAGTCATTGAGAAGATCAGAATTTTCAAATGAACAGATTAAGAGACTTATAAATATATAAGGTGTATGTCTTGTTGTTTCATACTGTTTTGGTGACACTTTTGTTTGTGTCCCTTGTTGTTTTCTCGTCTTTGGTAAGTATCTTCCCTTTGCCCCTAGTTTTATTTCTTTATTTCGCCCCCTCCCCCTTCCCCGAATTTCCTATCCCCTTCCCCTGTGCCCGTTAACTTAGTGGTCCTATTAATCATTCATTTATTTATTTTCTTTGATTTCCTTCTCAGTTACATTTTAGTGATAAGCCTGACCGTGCTCTCCCTTGCGCCCTGTCCCGTTTTAATTTAGGATCCTCCTGGGCTCCTTGCCAATGGTTCTTGTTCCTGGGTCGTGTGGGGGTTGCGTTCATTGAACGCCGCCTTTCCTTGTTCATCTTGTTTATCATATTGTATACATGTATACCGAACCGTAACAAACAGATAATGATTATCAATACAAGGTTCGGCAAGCAAGCAAAGAAATGTAAAGAAAACAGAAAAAACTTATCCACATACATGTATCCACCCTCAAAAAAAAAACCCCACCAAAAACGCCTGAAACTGCAAAATCGAAACATAAATACACATGAGTGCCAAAGACGGCTCTGGTAGGTGCAAGTGCTCCCTTTCGCCGGTTTAAACAGAATTGATCACTTAAACATAATAATGTTGAAATTTTTAATCAACATCCACAGATGTGTACATAATACGGCGGTAATCATGGAACTTTCAATGTGACACATTCGAGGTGCCGTTCAATGAAAAGCGGGAACTAGATAACATGGAATTTTAAATTGGTATCAGAGGTTTTGGTGTCCTTTTGCGACAGTCGTTCTAACATTTCTCCCATCTGTCTTACATTGTTATGCTATTCAACGTCTAAATAACGGTCACTAAATTTCCGCTTGCTGCGTTTTTATCATAAACCCCGTCATATCTGTGCGACAATTGTATTTTACTGAGGACTGTCTGAAATTCCATTTTATAGTTTGAAATTTTAAGATTTTTCTTTCAGAATTTTAAAGTTATTTTTGGTTGTTTTGAACTTCTTCCCCTACACAACCGTCCTCAATTTCTTTTAAAGATAACAAACTAGAAATTGATATGGAGTGTAATATAAATTGAAATTCTTCTTTGCTTCATCATGTATAGTATAATTATAATTCATTAAGATGTACCTACAATTACATTGTATTTTCGTATGTGGGAAATCATGGCAGGGTTATAAAATAAAAAGGTAGTTCAGAAATTTCACCTAATGATCACAGATGTTAAAAAGTCCAACTTAATAATATCTAATTTGACAATTTAAACGGACTTAAATGCAGTATGATCTGACATCGGACATCATAAACTATTTAATTTCTAAGTAAGGTTATCAGAATTTCCTTTTCACATTCTCTTTTTAATGCTGAAATATTTGTGTGTGAATAAAAGAGTTATTCCTGCAATAATTCATATAAAAAACATAAACAAATTGTATAATAAAGGTTGGCAAATACAATCGATTGCCGCCGATACCTGTGTTACACCATGGAAATTTACAAGTTTACGGTTTTTTACCATGACACCGCTTTCCAATATGGCCGCTTTCAATAATTTTCAACGATTAAAAAATTAAAGTGGAATATTTAGACTTCTGTTCGACTTTAAAGTATGATAATTTGGAACCTTGCATAAAAAACGATTCTCTTTCAGGTAATGTAGACCGTTTCTTTGAAACTTTTCTAGTTTTCGCTCCCAACAACTTCTAATTGGGAAGCGTCCGTGCATAAAAATGCAGTTCGTGGTTGGACTTGGAAAAAGACAGCGCCCGTCCAAAATTATCTCGGTGTCTCTTTGACAAGTCTAATTAGTTGGACTACCCCTGTGTTATAGGTAATTCACAGCAATAAATTACCTTTCTCAGAATCTTTCCTAGAGCAGTATACCACTGGAATCATCTACCCCCTGCATTTTACCCAGAGCAGTTCAGTGCAGCCATGGTTTAAATTGAACATGTCTCACCCTAGTTTTCCAGCCCCGTTTTTTTTACATTTTTTATGTTTTTATCCTCTTTTTAAACAACTCTTCTTAACTTTCTTGCGATTTTGACATGCAAACATGTCTACGTACCAGTGAGGGGTTTGACATTATAATAGAAGATAGATAAATCATTTACATAGAACAATTATATGATACATTATGAACAAATTATCCATTTTCTATCTCCAAAATAATTTACCATAAACAGACTGATAATGACAAATCCAGCTATCGGGTTACGTCGATTTGTAGTGACAGTGAAGTAACCTCGAGAACAATATCGTGACAGATGTATTATTAAAATGTTTGACTAAATGATTAAAAGGGTAACAATAATACATAATGTATTTGTATAAAAGACAACAACCGTGTTTTAACCAGTTAACATCGCGAAAATACAGGTCAATCAAATAAATAACGTTACAAAAGACTGGGATATTTTCTAGCCTTTGCTTTAAATATCTAAAGAATATACATAATAACTTACATTTTGCATATATTCCTTTAAAACAACTAGTACTGTCAAGATAAATAATATTGGGTAAAAATATTTTCATTCTGGCGTTTTCTTAAATCTAAGGGAGGTAACTCAGACGATGGATAAATGCCGTTTGATGCCGTAAAATAATTATATGCGGATCGTTATTATCTTGGTTGATAAAATATTTTCTAATGGATTGTATATTATATAGATGATATTGAATGAGTGTAAATTCAATACTGAATTTATTGCACGAGTTGAATAAAATTATATTATGCGAGCATCTGGCGAACATAATATTATTTTATTCAGCGAGTGCAATAAATTCAGTAATGAAATTACACGAATTTAATATTCTATTTATCATATACCCAAAATAAAGACCGTTTAAAGTGAAATAAGAGTCACCCCTATAGTATAGCGCTAACATTTAGCGCGTCTTTACACTTTGTTGGCATAACTCACGTCAAAATATATGCACGGCCGTGCAAAACCATATTTACGGAGTCGCAAAATCGGCACGGGTGTGTGATAAATACAGTATCGTTATTAAAATCAATGCGATCTATATCCACCAACTTGTTACATTAGGAAAGCAATCAGGGTCTTTTTATGTTATATTACTATAAAATTATTTATGAAATAATCTTGAAAAGAATGCTAAATGATGGTAATGAAATTTTAACTTTTCTTACTTTTTAGAGTTCCATTAGTGAGATGAAGTTGTTGAAATATATACCGCGCGTAACCTTAACAACCCAAACTAACCACCACGTGCATCTCATGCATGCTTGCTGATTGCTATAACATCTGCTTATACAATTAAATGACCACCCGAATTCGTTGTACATTGTGACATTGTCTTGTCGGACAACTTTCATCTAAATTCTTATCAAATAATAATTAAGAAGAAGTTGTCCGACAAGAAACCAGTGCATATACGGAAAATATGGTTCACTAGCTGCTGTGAAAAAAATACCGTGAAAATTCGGAAAATCGGAATATGCATGTTATTTCATTAATATTTCTCAATTTTTCATTTATAACTACATGTATATAATAAAATATATATAGCTTTAATAATTTTGCAAATAGCTTTAGCAAATAGCTTTGCAGTAATGATGCAGAAGTAGTAGATCTAATTTAATCAATACTGTTTGTTCATTTCGACTTCATAACAGTAAATAGTTATATAAATATCAAATTACATTTAATTCCGATGAATGATGATGAGATGTGAAACATATGTTAATATTTGAAATCGTGCTCTATATTTAAAAGCACACCATCCGTGGTCGAGGGGTTAGAGTCGATGACTTCTACTCAGTTACCTCTCTGGCGTGGGTTCGATCCCCGGGAGATGCTTTGGTAGTTTAGCGCAGAGGAAGGTAGTCTAGTACTGGTGTAACTCCAGGAACGGCGGTTAGGAAACTACCCGCCTATATGACTGAAATACTGTTGGAAAAAGGCGTAAAATGAAACAAACAAACAAACAAAACCACATAACATAACACTTCACAACGCAAGATTTTTATCCGACAATATATTATTATAACAAACATTATTCAAGCAGAGGCTGACATCTCAGATGACGTCATGCTCTCTTTTTATTGGCCCCGTAAGTTACTACGGACGCGACGTCAAAACCGTTGGAAACGGAAACGTCAATTTGTTGCAGAAAACAAACGCACACAACAGACCGAACATTATTCTTTATTCGTGATAGATAAAATATGGAGAGCGGTGACGGAATACAATATGATATAACAGAAACTGTTCAACAATTTCTTGACATGATACTCGAACAAATAATTACTGGCGTGGAGGAAAAAGAGAGAAAAGACAGTTTGCAAGTCGTTCATGAAATAGTCAACGATATGTTACGGAAAGCTGTCCAGATTGCCGAGGATGATAAATGTATATGTCCAACTGAAACGAAGGTTACAGTTCAAGAACATCCTAAACCCCAACAAATATCAAATGGTAACTAAATCTATAATTTTCTTTTTCATTTTGATATTATTTTTATGTTTCATCGAAGAGTTCTTCTTTACTTGAAAGAAATTGCCAACTAAAGTAAACGAATGATAAAAGTTATGCTTTAAAACCACTTATTTTCAAAATATGAAGAGTAAAGACACTATGATGCTATTGAAGTTGTAGATAATTTGTATGTTTTACACAACAAATTGCAATAAAATAACAATCATTTTGTACCTTTAGATGAATCAGACGGAAGTGCTTCTGACGACAATATCAGAGATGAAATGGCTACTGAAACAGTTTCTCTAGAATCCCCAGATCTCACAACCAGTGAATATTTTTCAAAGAGTGAATACTTGGAGAGTCGTTTAAGTTTATACGCCAGTTTGATCAGACGACCAGAGGGAATTGAGAAGCAAATTACAGATGTTAAACCAAGTATCAAAGCTATGGTGATGGATTACACATTAAATGCTAGCAAAGGTATGTCAGCAGGTCGCCTTTTATATATATATTTAAAAATACTGCATTTAGTTTAATTTTTTCCTATCAATTGTTTGACTGTTTGTTTTAGTTTCATATTACAATGTTATATCAAAGAGTTTTTTTTTTGCAAGATTTCCCAGATAACCGCTTAAATCATAATTGTTGACCGTTTCTTGGGTAATCGCTTAAGTGTTATATGTGCTAGTCGAAATATCTGACAGTCTGATAGAATTTGAACCCACTGCCACTGGATGAAAAGACTAGTCTCTTCACACGCTCGGCGTTTTTTCTAAATTAATAACTACAAGTTATCTATATTCAAACATTGGATTTATAGAAATAGTCTTTACTACTCTTATTACATGTGAAAAAATGTCTAACATATGGATCATGATTTAAATCAATTGCAAAGCAAGGCGCGTTTTTTTTATTTAAAATTTATTATTTTTGTTTGTTTTGCAGAGCAACAGGGCAGCCGGGAGAAAGGTTTTAAATATGAAACAAATGCTAAAATCTCTGATTTCAACGACAACACGTCTAATAGTCATATAAGTGCCAGTACCTCAGACGTGAAAAGTTTTGCAGATCATTTAGAAGATTGCACAAATAGATACAGAAATCTACATGAAGATAGCATTAGCTCCCTACGTAAAGAGTGTATTGACAACTCTGATGCAAACAAACTTACCGATGCTAAGGTTTCAGTTAAAGATGACTTACTGGAAGAAAAAGTGTTCCCTAAATTTTCAAAAGTTAAAAAGATCAAAACAAAATACGGCAAAGTAAAGATCCACTACACTGAAGACCTTAGTAAGGCGGAACAGGATAGGATTGTCAAAAATGCTGTAGAAATGCTGTTACAAAATGCGAAACAGAATGAATTAGCGGAAAGGAGGCAACAGAAAAGAACAAGAGGAGGCTTTGGTAGAAGAATTGCTAATTTCTTCAGACGTCTGTCATGCTGCAGAAATAGTGATAAAAAATACTTATATTAAACCTCTGTTTGATTTTCATTTATATTGATGCATATTACATATCGAGACATTTGTTGGTTTTCACATATTTGTATGTTATTGTATGTTTAAAATCTTTATTTAATTATCTATTATTTGTGCAAAAGATTATTTATTTATTTTTAAATGCCGTTTCGGCATAAACATTGCAATATGTGATTAAAACAACATAGTTGTTTAACATAACATGTTGTTGGTTTTATTTTTATGTCTCTGTTTCGCAAAACCTATTCTATATTCCTATAGATTATAAATTTTGTTTAAATAACAGAAAAAAATCCCAATAAAGATTGCAGAAAATGAAATCAAATACATATGAAGCTTGTCAAACAACCATTCACAGAAAGCCTGGAGAAAACCAGAAACTGATTTTGTTCAAAGGGACGACTAATTTATAACCTATAATGTAATTCTGGTAATTCTGGTATATTCCGTTAATCATTTGTTGATGAAACTTCTCCATGGAGGCTTTAGCTTGACAAGACAAGTATGATACATATTTCATCTACCTTAAGGGAGCACATGAATGAAATCTTATTTTTACAAACAAGAACTCGGAGCATATACCCTTTCTCCGCTCAAAGGCACATTATGCCTTGAAAATCCATATTTTTCAATTCTTTAGAAATGTCAAACATGGGTTTAACATTTTTTGAATAATGGATTTAGAGCATATTAGATTTTTAACAACTGAAGAAAGTAACTTGCAGTAATGTGTCGAAAAGTTAATGTAAACAACAAAGTAGCTTTTTGACTTTCATACAAAATACTAATTCACTATAAATCTACCAATTGCAAACATAGTTATAACTCGTATTTGCAGAAGATAGTCAATGTATATGGCAGATGATTATTTATTTAAAAACTGATATCAAAAATTAAAAAAAAAAATGAGAAATAAAATTGATATCATTTCTGGGGCATAATGGGTCTTTAAATAATATCTCAAATGGACTTGTTCATTTTTCAGTTTTGGCAAAATCATTTATTATTTTTTGGGAAAAATTCCAAAGATATGCTTTCTGAATAGCGATCAGTGCAGACCATTTTGGTTTGCACTTGGTGCATGGGTAGTCTGTATAGAACAAAAGTTTAAGGGTAAATGAAGAAAAACAAATTAAAGGCACACAAAAGGTATACACGAGTATAATTAAAGAAGCAAATAAAAAAGAATATAAAATGGTTGGTAACTTACATCATGAACGTCGTGGCAAGACATTGAAACTTTGTGTTGTTATTGGAAATAGAGCGGTAGAAAATAATGTGAAACTATTGACTGTTAAATCTAACATGCAATGCAAGTGTGCTTACTCCCCTGCTTGTTTTCTTGTAAACAGTGTGAAATAGGATATAAATTTTCATAAAAAGATGACAAATGTGTGTAAGAGTAGAATATGAGAATGGAGATTTATTTATGAATTGAATTGATATGAAGACAGAGGTCAACAATAAAACCGTTATATGAACACTCAATTGTATTCGTCTGATAAGTGACATACAAGGTGAAACATCTCCATGGGCCAGGCTTGGACAAGGTTGTTTAAACACAAGGATCCGAGGGTATTACTTCTTGGTATGTTGTTGAATGTTTAAAATACATTTATTTTCATTTTAGATCTTTGTAAAAAAATATAGAATCTCACAGAAACTTTTCTCTAAGAATAGTATACCCAGTATAGTTATATGTGTTTGTTTGAATAAGTTTTGCTTGAATGTGAAATAAAGATACCATAATGAGACCGCGGGAGGGCATAATATACACAAAAACAGTCCATGCTTTAACCACTTTAACATCCTGAATAATGTGTTACTCTCTTTAAGTATCAATTTGTCGTAGTATAACGGTACCTCTCACAATATTTATTTTTAGTGGACTTATGCATACACCTGATTTTTTTATGCGGAAGTTATAACTGCAAAGGAGGGAGGCATATATACATAGGCCTGCAACTGCCGCCCGATTCACAGCCCAACGCTCTACCTACTGAGCTAACGGAACAGTGCATACTGTGTTACGCCACAATCCAACCATAATTAGCGTATAGTTGATTTGGACATAAAATATCTGGAAACCAGACAATTCAAACAGACATTTTCATTAATCAGTTAGTTGTGCATTAACTATTGGCGTATAGGAGGGAAATAGTGTCACAGAGCGCTGGAAAAAAGAGCTTTATTGACTGGAATTGTCGACAAGATTAAAACTATAGCCAGGTCAAGAAATTGTAAGCCAATGTTTGATAGAAACATGTCTGCTCTTTGCATAGGTTTAGGACTAGAAAACATGTTATTTCTCTTTCAAATTCTTTGAAATTAGGGTAAATTGTATTTTGTGATATATTGTACAGGTATAGTAATAAACAGATAGATGTATTACTGTTCCATGTACTAGTTTATTAAAACTATTAGAAAATATTTACTGAACGAAATATACATTATTTAAAAAAAATATGTAACCCATATTCACGAAATTATTTATCATTAAAATTGTATGGCATACAAACTAAAAATTGCTTTGTACGCCCAACAAAGCGACGGCAGAGAGAAACGGAATCCTGACAATACTAATGATGACCTGACACTACTTATGATGACCTGACAATACTTATGATGACCTGACACTATTTATGATGACCTGACAATACTTATGATGATCTAACATCACTTATGATGATCTGATACTACTTATGATGACCTTTCTCTACTTATGTTGATCTGATAATACTTATGATGTCCTGACAATACTTATGATGATCTGACAATACTTATGATGACCTGACACTACTTATGATGATCTGACAATACTTATGATGACCTGACACTACTTATGATGACCTGACACTACTTATGATGACCTGACAATACTTATGATGATCTGACACTACTTATGATGACCTGACACTACTTATGATGACCTGACACTACTTATGATGACCTGACACTACTTATGATGACCTGACACTACTTATGATGACCTGACACTACTTATGATGACCTGACAATACTTATGATGACCTGACACTACTTATGATGACCTGACACTACTTATGATGATCTGACACTACTTATGATGACCTGACAATACTTATGATGACCTGACAATACTTATGATGACCTGACACTATTTATGATGACCCGACACTATTCATGATGACCCGACACTACTTATGATCATCAGACACTACTCATGATGACCTGGCACCATTTATGATGACCTGACACTATTCATGATGACCTGACACTATTCATGATGACCTGACACTATTCATGATGACCTGACACTATTCATGATGACCTTACACTATTCATTGATGACCTGACACTATTTATGATGACCTGACACTATTCATGATGACCTGACACTATTCATGATGACCTTACACTATTCATGATGACCTGACACTATTTATGATGACCTGACACTATTTATGATGACCGACACTATTCATGATGACCCGACACTACTTATGATCATCAGACACTACTTATGATGACCTGACACTATTTATGATGACCTGACACTATTTATGATGACCTGACACTACTTATGATGATCTGACACTATTTATGATGACCTGATACTACTTATGATCATCAGACACTACTCATGATGACCTGGCACTATTTATGATGACCTGACACTATTCATGATGACCTGACACTATTCATGATGACCTGACACTATTCATGATGACCTGACACTATTTATGATGACCTGACACTATTTATGATGACCCGACACTATTCATGATGACCCGACACTACTTATGATCATCATACACTACTTATGATGACCTGATACTATTTATGATGACCAGACACTATTTATGATGACCTGACACTACTTATGATGACCTGACACTATTTATGATGACCTGATACTACTTATGATTACCTGACACTATTTATGATGACCTGACACTATTTATGATGACATGACACTACTAATGATGATCTGACACTACTTATGATCATCAGACACTACTCATGATGACCTGACACTATTTATGATGACCTGACACTATTCATGATGACCTGAGACTATTCATGATGACCTGACACTATTCATGATGACCTGACACTATTTATGATGACCCGACACTATTCATGATGACCCGACACTACTTATGATCATCAGACACTACTTATGATGACCTGACACTATTTATGATGACCTGACACTATTCATGATGACCTGACACTATTCATGATGACCTGACACTATTCATGATGACCTTACACTATTTATGATGACCTGAAACTATTTATGATGACCCGACACTATTCATGATGACCAGACTCTACTTATGATGACCTGACACTACTTATGATGACCTGACACTATTTATGATGACCTGACAATACTTATGATGACCTGACACTACTTATGATGACCTGACACTACTTATGATGATCTGACAATACTTATGATGACCTGACAATACTTATGATGACCTGACAATACTTATGATGACCTGACTCTACTTATGATGACCTGACAATACTTATGATGACCTGACAATACTTATGATGATCTGACAATACTTATGATGACCTGACAATACTTATGATGACCTGACACTACTTATGATGACCTGACACTACTTATGATGACCTGATACTACTTATGATGACCTGATACTACTTATGATGATCTGACACTATTCATGATGACCCGACACTACTTATGATAACCTGACACTATTTATGATGACCTGACACTATTTATGATGACCTGACACTATTCATGATGACCCGACACTAATGATCATCAGACACTACTTATGATGACCTGACAATACTTATGATGACCTGACTCTACTTATGATGACCTGACAATTTTTATGATGACCTGACATTACTTATGATGATCTGACTCTACTTCTGATGACCTGACACTACTAATGATGATCTGACACTACTTATGTTGACCTGACACTACTTATGATGATCTGACACTTCTTATGATGACCTGACACTACTTATGATGATCTGACACTACTTTTGCTGACATGGCAATACTTATTATGACTTTACACTACCTATAAAGACCTGGCACTACTTATGATGACATGACACTACTCATGATGATCTGACACTTCTTCTTATGACCTGAAACTACTTATGATGACCTGACACTACTTATGATGACCTGACACTGCTTATGATGACCTGATAATACATTT